TGGAGAGGCTAAAGAGGGGGTTGGGGTGTCCTGGGAAGGCTGAGAGGGGGTCTGGGGAGACCTGAGGGCAACTGGGAGAGAGTTTGTGTGAGCCTGGGTGGGATGGGAGGGAGGCTGGGGGGCCTTGGAGTCACTAGGAGGGGGTTGGGGAAGTGCTAAGTGGGGTGGGAAGGCACTGGGAGGGATTCAGGGGGCGATGGGAGGGGGTTTGGAGGGTCCTAAAGGGGTTGGGAGAAGATTTGTGGGATCTCCGAGGGGCTGGCAAGGGATTGGGAGGAGGTTCCAGCGGGTCCTGGGTGGAGTGGGGGAGACCAGGATGGGGCTTGTGAGGTCCTGGGTGGCCTATGGGAGGTTTTGGGGGTCTTGACCCCCCCCGGCTCCCCCCAGAGATGCCACAGGACACCGTCCACAGCAAGATCCTGGTGGGGGTCGGGGGCTTCGTGTTGGGTTTCGTCTTCCTGGCGCTGGGGCTCGGCTTCTACCTGTGGGAGAAGGTAAAGGGGGGTCCCCAGGGGTCGTGTCCCCCCTTCCCTAGAGTGTGTGTGCCCGCCCCGCTCCCCCAGCCCGCTGTCACCCCCTTTTCTGTCCCCACAGAGCTCCTGAATTGGGCGGCAACCGCAGCCCCTCCCCGTGGCCTCGGGCCCAGCCGGGACCCCCCGGTCCATCCCAGCCCGGAGTTTAGGGGGGTCGTGTGTCCCTCCTGACCCTGCTTTTGCTCTCACACCAGCCACCCACTCCCAGTGCTGCCAGTAAAGCTTCCCAGTTCTCTGCAGTCCTGATTATTGGGGGATATTGGGGGGGGGGGGGGGCTCCGAAAATCCTGGAAATGGGAGGGTGTTTGGGCAACGTCAGCGCCCCAAAATTCTACATATCCAGGGCACCCCAAAGCCAGACTCCAGCAATCTGGGACCTCCCAAAACCCACCTTGGACCCCCCGAGCCGGGGGCAGAGTCAGCCCCAGCCAATGGGAGAGAGCGCATCTGCAGTGTCATCAGTTGCTGGGCAGACCCTTCTCAAACTGAGCCCTCACCGAGCTCAGTCAGAGAACGCCCTCCACTCGATTCTGGGGACCCGTCGGAGCTCCGAGACAGCCGGATCGCAGAGCTGCGGGACCCCTGGACGCCCATTTGTGGGTTCCCCTGAGTTCCTACCTGTCCCGCACCCCACGGACCCCCCAGAACCCCCACTCCGGGGCTGCAGCGCCCCGAACGGCATCAGCCAATCAGAAAGCACCGACGCGGACTGTGACTAATCAGAGCGCGTCTCGCTGATGACTCCTCAGTTGTCGGGAAGACGATCCGCTAAACGAGTCCCCAACTTTACCTTCAGCCAATCAGAGCGCGTCCAAAACACCCCAAAACGGCCCCTCTCGGCTGGTTTTGGGGTGTCAGCACCTGCCCGGCGCTGGGGATGGAGCGTGTGTGGGGAGCTGGGGCCGTACTGGTGGTACTGGTGGTACTGGGAGCCCCCCTGGCTGCGGGCGAGGAGCTCTCGGGTGAGCGGGAGGGGCGGGAAGGCGGGAAAGAGGAGAGAGAAGAGGGGGTGGGAACCCCAAAAGTGAGTGCGAGAGAGGTTGGAACCCCCGGAATTATTGGAAGGGAGCTGGGGGCCCCAAACTAAAAGTCGGAAGGTCTGGGGATTGAGGGGACAGTGGAGAAAGGGGTGGGAGAGGGGGGGAAAGTAGGGTGGGAGAGCAGGAAGGGGGTGCCATGGGGGTCCCTCGGTGTCCCCCATCACTGGAGCCCTGCAGCGGTTTCCTGGGGCTCTGGAGGGGTCGGATCCGCACTGGTGGGGCCCCAACCCCCCTGTCCATCCCCCGGGGGCTGATGGGGGGTTCCCCCCCAGCCAAGAGCCGGTGCTGCGGTGGCCGTGGGGCAGAGGAGGGTGGGAAAGGGGGGTCCTAGGTGGTTCCCTGAGCTCCCAAAGTCCTGTGGGGGGATAGAGGATGATGGGAGGGGGACAGGACACCCCCTGACCCGTGTCCTGCACACACAGGGGTGTTCCAGAAGTTGAAAAAGGCCGAGTGTCACTTCATCAACGGCACCGAGCAGGTGAGGTTCATGGAGAGATTCATCTACAACCGGCAGCAGTACGTCCACTTTGACAGCGATGTGGGGGTCTATGTGGGGGACACCCCGTATGGGGAGATCCAAGCCAGGTACTGGAACAGCCAACAGGACTTGCTGGAGTACAGACGGGCTGCAGTGGACTGGTTGTGCCGGAAAATCTACGAGGTGTCCACCCTGTTCACTGTGAACCGTAGAGGTGAGCGCGGGGCAGAGCGGGTCCCCTCGGGAATTCCCCTGCCCCGGGAACGACCCTGGAGCCCCTGAAACCCTCCCTGGGAATCACCGCTGACCCCTCAGCCCTCCCTGTGCCCATTCCCGTGGCCTTTTGCCCCCTCTCAGTTCCCCAGGTCCACCCCAGTCTCTCCCAGTGCCCTCCACTCCATCCCAGTCTCTCCCAGTGCCCCGCCGCGTCTCCACCCCGCTGGGGTCACCCAGCTCCCACCCTTAGCCAATCAGAGAGCAATTTTTTGATGACTCATCAGTTACCGGGCAGATCCGCAGCTCAGAGTTCCCTCTCCAGGACTCAGCCTCCAATTCCGCTCGGTTCCTTCCCAGTCCCTCCCAGTCCTTCTAGTCATTCCCAGTCCTTCACAGACCCTCTCACTCCACTCCCACAACGTCTCAATCCATTCCCAGTCGTTCTCATTTCAATCTCAGATCTCCCAACTCTCTCCCCATTGACCAGCCCCCGGCCATTCTCTTCTACCCCAATCTATTCCCAGTCCCTCCCAGTGCTATCCCAGTCCCTCCCAGTGTCATCCAAACGCCTACCAATGCCCTATAAACCCTCTCCCGTCTCTCCCAGTGCCCCCCAGCGTGTCCATCTCGCTGGTGCCGTCGAGCTCCCAGCCCGGCCCCAGCCCCTGCTCTGCTCCGTGATGGATTTCTACCCTGCCCGGTGCAGGTGAGGTG